TTTTATGTTTCATCTTAATTTGAGAATATCGTTAAACTTTAAGACTTTGTATCTTAAAAATTAATTGAGATATCGAGTTGAAATAAAAAGCATTTTAAAGTAAATTTAATCCTAAATTAACACTCCAAAAACTATCTTTCAATTCCAACTAGTTTAGATGTAGCAATTTTTTGAATTCAAATCGCACAAAATTGATTAATTTAGAGGCTGCTTTAATAAAGACGATTTAAAAAAAATCGTATCTTAAGAACTATTTGAGATATCGCGATGAAATGAAAAACATTTTAACGCAAATTTAATCTAGATTTAGCACAGTTAAAATCATTTTTTAATTCCAAACCACTGTTAAGGAGCGATTTTTTATGTTTCATCTTAATTTTAGGATATTGTTAAACTTTAAGTCTTTGTATTTCAAAAACTAATTGAGATATCGAGTTGAAATAAAAAGCATTTTAAAGCAAATTTAATCCTAAATTAACACTCTAAAAATTATCTTTTAATTCCGACTAGTTTTGATGTAGCGATTTTTCGAATTCAAATCGCACAAAATTAATTAATTTAGAGGCTGCTCTAATAAAGACGATTTAAAAAAAATCGTATCTTAAGAACCAATTGAGATATCGCAATGAAATAAAAAGCATTTTAACGCAAATTTAATCTCGATTTAGCACAGTTAAAATCATTTTTTAATTCCAAACCATTTTTAAGGAGCGATTTTTTATGTTTCATTTTAATTTTAGGATATTGTTAAACTTTAAGACTTTGTATTTTAAAAACTAATTGAGATATCGAGTTGAAATAAAAAGCATTTTAAAGCAAATTTAATCCTAAATTAGCACTCCAAAAATTATCATTTAATTCCAACTAGTTTGGATGTAGCAATTTTTTGAATTCAAATCGCACAAAATTAATTAATTTAGAGGTTGCTTTAATAAAGACGATTTAAAAAAAATCGTATCTTAAGAATTAATTGAGATATCGCGATGAAATAAAAAGCATTTTAATGCAAATTTAATCTCGATTTAGCACAGTTAAAATCATTTTTTAATTCCAAACCATTTTTAAGGAGCGATTTTTTATGTTTCATTTTAATTTTAGGATATTGTTAAACTTTAAGACTTTGTATTTCAAAAACTAATTGAGATATCGTTGAAATAAAAAGCATTTTAAAGCAAATTTAATCCTAAATTAACACTCTAAAAATTATCTTTTAATTCCGACTAGTTTTGATGTAGCGATTTTTTGAATTCAAATCGCACAAAATTGATTCATTTAGAGATTATTTTAATAAAATCGATTTTTAAAAAATCGTATCTTAAGAACTAATTGAGATATCGCGATGTAATAAAAAGCATTTCAAAGCAAATTTAATCTAGATTTAGCACAGTTAAAATCATTTTTGAATTCCAAACCATTTTTAACGAGCGATCTTTTATATTTCATCTTTATTTTAGAACATTGTTAAAGTTTAACACTTTGTATCTCAAGAATTAATTGAGATATAGAGTTGAAATAAATCGCATTTTAAATCAAATTTAATCCAAAATTAACACTCCAAAAATTATCTTTTAATTCCAACTAGTTTTGTTGTTGCGATTTTTTGAATTCAAATGGCACAAAATTGATTAATTTAGAGGTTATTTTAATAAAGACGATTTTAAAAAAATCGTATCTTAAGAACTAATTGAAATATCGCGATGAAATAAAAAGCATTTTAACGCAAATTTAATCTAGATTTAACACAGTTAAAATCGTTTTTTAATTCCAAACCATTTTTAAGAAGCGATCTTTTAAGTTTCATCTTAATTTGAGAATATCGTTAAACTTTAAGACTTTGTATCTCAAAAACTAATTGAGATATCGAGTTGAAATAAAAAGCATTTTAACGCAAATTTAATCCTAAATTAACACTCTAAAAATTATCTTTTAATTCCGACTAGTTTTGATGTAGCGATTGTTTGAATTCAAATCGCACAAAATTGATTGATTTAGAGGATGCTTTAATAAAGACGATTTAAAAAAAATCGTATCTTAAGAACTAATTGAGATATCGCGATGAAATAAAAAGCATTTTAACGCAAATTTAATCTAGATTTAACACAGTTAAAATCGTTTTTTAATTCCAAACCATTTTTAAGAAGCGATCTTTTAAATTTCATCTTAATTTGAGAATATCGTTAAACTTTAAGACTTTGTATCTCAAAAATTAATTGAGNTAAATAAATTAAAAATATAGGTTTTTCGAGGAAAGAATAATTAAAGAAAAAACTGTTAAATTACTTAAAAATATAGAAATTTTTAAAAAATCATATCGGCCGTGTTTTTAGGAATTATGATGTGATGTGTGTGTTAAATTGAACCTTAAAGATTGTGGTTTATGATGTGATATAAAAATTATTAGGTAATATTATTGAAATTTCAGAATAAAAATTATTAAAAAAGAAATTGTTAAATTTATTAATTAAAAATGATACGAAATGTTCAAAAAATCATATCGCCTGTGTTAATAGGAATCATGATATGATATATGTGTTAAATTGAAACTCAAGGATTCTAGTTGATGATATGATATTAAAACTATTAGGTAATATTATTGAAATTTCAGGTAAAAAATTATTAAAGAAATTGTTAAATTTATTAATTAAAAATGATACGAAATGTTCAAAAAAATCATGTCAACTGTGTTTATAAAAATTATGATATGATGTGTGTGTTAAATTGAAGCTTAAAGATTCTAGTTTAAGATATGATATAAAAATTATTAGGTGATATTATTGAAATTTCCAAGAAAAAGTTATTAAAAAAGAAATTGTTAAATTTATGAATTAAAAATGATACGAAANTATCGCGATGAAATAAAAAGCATTTTAACGCAAATTTAATCTAGATTTAACACAGTTAAAATCGTTTTTTAATTCCAAACCATTTTTAAGAAGCGATCTTTTAAATTTCATCTTAATTTGAGAATATCGTTAAACTTTAAGACTTTGTATCTCAAAAACAAATTGAGATATCGAGTTGAAATAAAAAGCATTTTAAAGCAAATTTAATGCTAAATTAACACTCCAAAAATGATCTTTCAACTTCATCTAGTTTTGATGTTGCCATTTTTTGAATTCAAATCACACAAAATTGATTCATTTAGAAGTTATTTTAATTAAGTCGATTTTAAAAAAATCGTATCTTAAGAATTAATTGATATATCGCGATGAAATAAAAAGCATTTTGAAGCAAATTTAGTCTAGATTTAGAACAGTTAAAATCATTTTTTAATTCCAAACCATTTTTAAGGAGCGATTTTCTATGTTTCATTTTAATTTTAGGATATTGTTAAATTTTAAGACTTTGTATTTCAAAAACTAATTGAGATATCGAGTTGAAATAGAAAGCATTTTAAAGCAAATTTAATCCTAAATTAACATTCCAAAAATTATCTTTTAATTCCAACTAGTTTGGATGTAGCAATTTTTTGAATTCATATCGCACAAAATTAATTAATTTAGAGGTTATTTTAATAAAGACGATTTAAAAAGATCGTATCTTAAGAACTAATTGAGATATCGCGATGAGATAAAAAGCATTTTAACGCAAATTTAATCTAGATTTAGCACAGTTAAAATCATTTTTTAATTCCAAACCATTTTTAAGGAGCGATTTTTTATGTTTCATCTTAATTTAGGATATTGTTAAACTTTAAGATTTCGTATCTTAAGAATTAATTGAGATATCGAGTTGAAATAAAAAGCATTTTAACGCAAATTTAATCCAAAATGAACACTCAAAAAATTATCTTTTAATTCCCACTAGTTTTGATGTTGCGATTTTTTTAATTCAAATCGCACAAAATTGATTAATTTAGAAGTTACTTTAACAAAGCCGATTTTTAAAAAATCGTATCTTAAGATCTAATTGAGATATCGCAATGAAATAAAAACCATTTTAAAGCAAATTTAATCTAGATTTAGCACAGCTAAAATCATTTTTTAATTCCAAACAGTTTTTATGTAGCGATTTTTTAAGTTTAATCTTAATTTTTGGATATAGTAAACTTTAAGTCTTTATATCTCAAGAATTAATTGAGATATCGAGTTGAAATAAAAAGCGTTTTAAAGCAAATTTAATCAATTTTTATTGGTTCAAGACGATTTTTTTTCTTAATCAAACTCCAATTTTTTGAAGCTTCCTTCCACTCCAAACGTTTCCGACGCGTTTTTGACCGCCCCAATTCGCTTCGATTCATCAGCTATCTNAAGAAATTGTTAAATTTATGAATTAAAAATGGTACGAAATGTTCAAAAAATCATATCAACTGTGTTTATAAGAATATAATATGATATATGTGTTAAATTGAAGCTTAAAGATTCTAGTTTATGATATGATATAAAAACTATTAGGTGATATTATTGAAATTTCCAGAAAAAAATTATTTAAGAAATTGTTAATATGAATTAAAATTGATAGGAAATGTTCAAAAAATCATATCAACTGTGTTTATAAAAATTATGATATGATATGTGTGTTAAATTGAAGCTTAAAGAAGCCAGTTTATGAAAAAACTTTTAGGTAATATTATTGAAATTTCCAGAAAACAATTAATAAAGAAACTGTTAAATTTATGAATTAAAAATGACGTGAGAACTTTAAAAAATCATATCGACTGTGTTTATAAGAATAATGATATAATGTGTGTGTTAAATTGAAGCTTAAAGAAGCCAGTTTATGATGTGATATAAAGACTATTAGGTAATATTATTGAAATTTCCAAGAAGAAGTTATTAAAAAAGAAATTGTTAAATTTATGAATTAAAAATGATACGAAATGTTCAAAAAATCATATCGCCTGTGTTAATAGGAATTATGATATGATATATGTGTTAAATTGAAGCTGAAGGATTCTAGTTGATGATATGATATTAAAACTATTAGGTAATATTATTGAAATTTCAGGTAAAAAATTATTAAAGAAATTGTTAAATTTATGAATTAAAAANTTTTTTTTCTTAATCAAACTCCAATTTTTTGAAGCTTCCTTCCACCCCAAACGTTTCCGACGCGTTTTTGACCGCCCCAATTCGCTTCGATTCATCAGCTATCTCTTTTTCTTCATCCAAAAAGTATTGGAAATGATCTTGTAGGTTTTTTATCATCTCATCTATTAAAAAAAAAGTTTTTTTAATCACCTCCGATTTTATTAACTTAATTAATTTACTTTGTAACTCTTTGCAAGTTCCAGCTGTTCCTCCCATTTCAAGTGGAAGCGCTTCTTTTGGGATTATCCCATCTAACCCATCAACGGTTTTGTGAAAAACGATCTAAAATTTGATCAAATTAGAGATGGGGAATCTTAATTAGTCGAATTTTTACTGCATCATAAACGTTTTTCTTGATGAAAGGGCGAGCTAAACTCGAAAATCGCTCTGTAACCGTCGAAACATTCACGATATGAACTGTTTTTAATGTAATTGGAGATGCTTCTTGTACAAAAAATAAATACTTTTTTAACGAAACTATGTTGCAGCGCAACAAATGTCCTAAACTAAAATCTTTCGCGTCCATTATCATTACTTGCCCCGGAGTTGTTCCAATTTGCATTTGGATCAATGATACCACCATGTCAATGATTTTTAAGGCTTCGTTTAAATCGTATTTTTCTGGGGCGATATCGATCAATTTCGTCAATAAAATTGGGTAATTCTCTTTTGTACGAACTGGTAAAATCGTTATTAAACTAAAAATTAAAATTAAAAAGTTATTGATTAAAAACAATTTTGATTAAAAAACTTTGTGTGAAGATGTGTTTTTAAATGTTCATCCTTTGGGTTTCGTTTGGAGAAGAATTCGGGGCAATGAGATCGAGAAAAATAATAATTTTCAATCGATTTTTTAGCTAATTCGATGTTGAAGCCATTGCTGTGTAAAAAATGGATCAATTTCATCTCTAAAAATAATTATTTCGTTAACACAACAATCTTATTTAAATTACAACTTTACCTGTTGGTTTAGGAAGATGATTTTGCTTATTAATCCAGTCCTTTAAGTATTTGACATCCTCCCTTTTTAATTGGACGTCTTTTTCGTATTCCAACTCAACGTCAGCGAAACTTGGATACATTATTAATTATTTTTGTGGGTGATTACGAACAATTATTGAGAACGAACTAAAATAAGTGAATTCAAAGCGCCATAAAACTCTTTAGATAAACGGATTAAACTTGGTGATGAAATAATCGTTTTTAATCGGGAAAAAATTTAGCGTGTCATCTATTAAGCGAGTTTAATAATGAGCTTAGTTTTTTTTTGTTATCATTCTAAAAGTTTATTTCAGAATTTTAATAATATTTTAAAAATTTTAATGGTTTTTTTCACTTGAGAAGTGAAGTTTCAAAGTAGTTAATGATAACGCTTGGATATCGGAGCATGTTACAAAAAAACATTTAAAATAAAAGTTGTAGCAAATTTGATTCTTAACAATATTGCTCTCTTGTACTTTTTCACTCAGAGGTATAGATATTGAGAAAAATACGAAAATATGATCATTTCATGAATTTTGTCATTTTCAAAGTAGTTAATGATAACACTTGAATATCAGAGCATGTTACAAAGAAACTTTTAGAATAAAAGTTGTAGCAAATTTTATTCTTACCAATATTGCTCTCTTTCATTTTTGCTCTTAGATGCCTACATTTCTAGAAAAATGCAAGAATATGAAAATTTTATGAATTTGTTGCTTTTTCAACTTAATGGTAACATTCGGAAAACAGAGCATGTTATAAAAAAACTTTTGGGACGAAAGTTGTAGCTAATTTTATTCTTAGCAATTTTGCTCTCTTTCACTTTTACTCTTAGATGCCTAAATTTCTAGAAAAATGCAAGAATATGAAAATTGGATGAATTTGTNTTAAATTGAAGCTGAAGGATTCTAGTTGATGATATGATATTAAAACTATTAGGTAATATTATTGAAATTTCAGGTAAAAAATTATTAAAGAAATTGTTAAATTTATGAATTAAAAATGATACGAAATGTTCAAAAAATCATATCAACTGTGTTTATAAGAATTATGATATGATGTGTGTGTTAAATTGAAGCTTAAAGAAGCCAGTTTATGAAGTGATATAAAAACTGTTAGATAATATTATTAAAATTTCCAGGAAAATATTATTAAAGAAATTGTTAAATTCATGAATTAAAAATGATACGAAATGTTCTAAAAATCATATCAACTGTGTTAATAAGAATTATGTTATGATATTATATGTGTTAAATTGAAGCTTAAAGATTCCAGTTTATGATGTGATATAAAAACTATTAAGTAATATTATTGAAATTTACAGAAAAAAATTATTATAGCAATTGTTAAATTTATGAATTACAAATGATACAAACTGTTCAAAAAATCATATCAACTATGTTTATAAAATTATGATATGATATGTGTGTTAAATTGAAGCTTAAAGAAGCCAGTTTATGATGTGATATAAAAACTATTAAAAAATATCATTGAAATTTCTCGGAAAAAGTTATTAAAGAAATTGTTAAATTTATGAATTAAAAATGATACGAAATGTTCCAAAAATCATATCAACTGTGTTAATAGGAATTATGATGTAATATATGTATTAAATTGAAGCTGAAGGATTCTAGTTGATGATATGATATTAAAACTATTAGGTAATATTATTGAAATTTCAGGTAAAAAATTATTAAAGAAATTGTTAAATTTATGAATGAAATGTTCAAAAAATCATATCAACTGTGTTTATAAGAATTATAATATGAATCGTGTGTTAAAGTGAAGCTTAAAGATTCTAGTTTAAGATATGATATAAAAACTATTAGGTGATATTATTGAAATTTCCAAAAAAAAGTTATTAAAAAAGAAATTATTAAATTAATGAATTAAAAATGATACGAAATGTTCCAAAAATCATATCAACTGTGTTAATAAGAATTATAATATGATATATGTGTTAAATTGCAGTTGAAGGATTCTAATTGATGATATGATATTAAAACTATTAGGTAATATTATTGAAATTTCAGGTAAAAAATTATTACATTTATGAATTAAAAATGATACGAAAAGTTTAAAAAATCATATCGACTGTGTTTATAAGAATTATGATATGATATGTGTGTTAAATTGAAGCTTAAAGATTCCAGTTTATGATGTGATATAAAAACTATTAGGTAATATTATTGAAATTTCCAGAAAAAAAATATTAGAGAAATTGTTAAATTTATGAATAAAAGATGTTACGAAAAGTTCAAAAAATCATATTGACTGTGTTTATAAGAATTATGATATGATATATGTGTTAAATTGAAGCTTAAAGAAGCCAGTTTATGATGTGATATAAAAACTATTAGGTAATATTATTGAAATTTCCAAGAAAAAATTATTCTAGAAATTGTTAAATTTATGAATAAAAAATGTTACGAAAAGTTCAAAAAATCATATCGACTGTGTTTATAAGAATTATGATATGATATATGTGTTAAATTGAAGCTTAAAAATTCCAGTTCATGATGTGATATAAAAACTGTTAGGTAATATTATTGAAATTTCTAGAAAAAAATTATGAAAGAAATTGTTAAATTTATGTATTAAAAATGATACGAAAAGTTTAAAAAATCATATCGACTGTGTTTACAAGAATTATGATATGATCTGTGTGATAAATTGAAGCTTAAAGAAGCCAGTTTATGATGTGATATAAGAACTATTAGGTAATATTATTGAAATTTGAGGGAAAAAAGTTATTCAAAAAGAAATTGTTAAATTTGTGAATTAAAAATGATACGAAAAGGTTAAAAAATCATATCGACTGTGTTTATAGGAATTATGATATGATATGTGTGTTAAATTAAATCTTCGAGATTCTAGTTTACGATGTGATATAAAAATTATTAGGTAATATTATTGAAATTTCCAGAAAAAGTTATTTAAGAAAGTGTTAAATTTGTGAATTAAAAATGATACGAAAAGTTTAAAAAATCATATCGACTGTGTTTATAAGAATTATGATATATGTGTTAAATTACAGCTTAAGGATTGCAGTTCATGATATGATATAAAAATTATTAGGTAATATTATTGAAATTTCCAGGAAAAAGTTGTTAATAAGGAAATTGTCCAATAAATAAAACCCTCGACAGATTACCAAAAGTGTTAATCCTATAATCTAATCTAAAAGAAATGTGTTTTCAAAATGTTTGTCTAATTTTTCGATGAATTGTTTATCTATAGTTATTTACAAATAAACTTTAAGTTTTTTTTATTACCTATTTTATAAATACTCATCAAATTTCGGAGATGTAATTATATTGTGAGTTTTGTTGCGAATAGACATGTTGATTGGAACAATTTTTCTTATAATCTTCACAGCATTTCATGCTGCTACCGCCACTGGTGAATATTTGTTTATTTATTATTTATAAGTACATTCAATCATAATTGATAGTGTTCATTTTAATATCATAGAACCATATTATGAACCATATATGTTCATATTAACGCTGTACACGGGTGTTTTTTGGAAAATATCGTTTTGGGGGGTTATTTGGGTAATGTTTATAGGTACATTGGAAAAGTGTTTCACGATAACAAATGGAAAATCTCAACCGTGTACCAAAACGGACACAAATGGGCAGGGTTAACGATTTGGTCTAATAAGAATGGAAAAGGATTTACTATAAACGATTTTCAAATTTTAATGTACGACTAACTTAAGTGAAATTAAAAATTTATATTTATAGCAATAAAATTAGATTAAATTTGCTTTCAACTCCTTCTTATTTCATCGTAATACCTCTATTTTTCTTTGAGATACGATTTTTTAAAGTTTCTTAATTTTCTGTATAACGTCAGTAAGTATCGAAAACGCAGTGTTATTAAAAAAATCGTAACAACCAGGTTTATGGAAAATAAGAAATTATCTTTGGTACACTAATACTAGATTAAATTTGCTTAAACTCCTTCTTGTTTCATAGTGATATCTCTATTTGTCTATGAGATACGGGTTTTTAAAGTTTCTTAATTTTCTGTATAACCTCAGTAAGTATCGAAAACGCAGAGTGTTATTAAAAAAATCGTAACAACCAAGTTTATGGAAACTAAGAAATCATCTTTGGTACACTAATACTAGATTAAATTTGCTTTAAACTCCTTCTTGTTTCATCGTGATATCTCTATTTGTCTTTGAGACACGATTTTTTAAAGTTTCTTAATTTTCTGTATAACCTCAGTAAGTATCGAAAACGCAGAGTGTTATTAANGTTAAATTTATGAATTAAAAATGATACGAAATGTTCAAAAAATCATATCGCCTGTGTTAATAGGAATTATGATATGATATATGTGTTAAATTGAAGCTGAAGGATTCTAGTTGATGATATGATATTAAAACTATTAGGTGATATTATTGAAATTTCCAAGAAAAAGTTATTAAAAAAGAAATTGTTAAATTTATGAATTAAAAATGATACGAAATGTTTCAAAAATCATATCAACTGTGTTAATGAGAATTATGATATCATATATGTGTTAAATTGAAGCTCAAGGATTCTAGTTGATGATATGATATTAAAACTATTAGGTAATATTATTGAAATTTCAGGTAAAAAATTATTAAAGAAATTGTTAAATTTATGAATTAAAAATGATACGAAATGTTCAAAAAATCATATCGCCTGTGTTAATAGGAATTATGATATGATATATGTGTTAAATTGAAGCTCAAGGATTCTAGTTGATGATATGATATTAAAACTATTAGGTAATATTATTGAAATTTCAGATAAAAAATTATCAAAGAAATTGTTAAATTTATGAATTAAAAATGATACGATATGTTCAAAAAATCATATCGCCTGTGTTAATAGAAATTATGATATGATATATGTGTTAAATTGAAGCTCAAGGATTCTAGTTGATGATATGATATTAAAACTATTAGGTAATATTATTGAAATTTCAGGTAAAAAATTATTAAAGAAATTGTTAAATTTATGAATTAAAAATGATACGAAATGTTCAAAAAATCATATCGCCTGTGTTAATAGGAATTATGATATGATATATGTGTTAAATTGACGCTCAAGGATTCTAGTTGATGATGTGATATTAAAACTATTAGGTAATATTATTGAAATTTCAGGTA